GTCCTGATCTTGCCCATATTCTACCTGAACATGCTAAACCTGTTTGGGTTGACGAGGATTTTGTCTGCCTTTTTCCTCCACCTGATTTTGCTATGTCTTCCTATGCCCCTAATGCAGAATCAGCTAGGCCTAATATGGTTTTTTAGTCATAATTTTGCGATCCACAGAGATCCTGGTGGTTTTTCAAGGGATTGCCTCCACGATTGGCACGTTTGTCTTCTTTGGCTGTAGCATTACATACGTAGTTTCTCTGTTGTTGGGATCTCCTGGGGAGGGACACGTCCTTGTCCCAAGTTCGTTTAACATCTACTTATTTCCGGGACTTACATATGGAACATTTTCCACAGTGGTATGTTTTTAGTAATATTCCTGAGACTTTGGAATCCTGTGTGGAGTCATTGCAACAACAATTTACTCTTTCTTCTTTGGTTCATTGTTTATCTCATTCTGAGCCTAGACATACCCCTATTACTGTTTCCCGTCCAGCTCCTTCCCAGCCCTTACCTATTCCTACCTCCAGGGGTTCTTCATCTTGTCATTTTATTTGATGCAGATGGACATGTCGCCAACAGTACTGGTGACTACTCGGTGGGTTCCAGTCCAGTAGTGGCTCACTTGACTGATTTTGTTCCCCTTTGGCAACTTTTCACCGCAGTTCTGTGGGTTTTTCAATCATCCATCTCCAGGTTTTTATTCCAGGCTGTTTGTGGTACCCAAGAAAACAGGGGACTGGTAGCCTGTGATCAATTTGTCTCACCTCAATTAATTTTGGGTTCTTCCCCGATTTACCATGGAGTCTTTTCTCCCCCTCAGATGGGCTTTTTCTCTGGGTTTGTGGATGACCGAAGTAGACATTGCAAATGCTTACCTGCATGTTCCAATATATCATTAGTCAATGCACAATCTTTGGTTCATTCATCACAGGGTAGTTTATCAGTTTTGTACCCTGCCTTTCAGGCTTGCTTCAGCCCCATATGTTTTTGTTGGGTGATCAAAGCTTTCGTCCGACAATTGCATGCTTGGGGTTGCACTTCCATCATTACATGAATGACTAGCTTCTTTTAGCTCGTTTCGATTAGGATTGCACCCATCACACTTGTCTGCTGCTTCTGGAGGCAGCTTGTGTGGGTTGGTTAATCAAACTTGAGAAGTCACTCCTTATACATACCTAATATCTTGTCCATTTGGGTGTCATTTTCAACATTCATCTCAATTAGGCCCATCCTTCTCCTCTTCGACTTTGTTCAATGGAGTTTTCAGTCCTCCATGTCCTTACAGCTCACAAGGTTCTATCACTTTTGGGGATGTGGTCTTTCATGGAAGCCCTTATCCCCTTGAGTAAAGCGCATATTGGTCTCTTCAGTGGATTCTGCATGACCAATGGAATATTGTACAGAATCCATTGGAAGATCCTATTTCCCTTCCTCCTTCCCTTATAGGTGATCTGCATTGGTGGTTGGACCAGACTCTCACGTTGGTGGGTGTTCTGCTTTCTCCCCCTTGTCTGGATTTAAGAGTCTTCACAGACACTTCCCTTCAGGGCTGGGGGGCATGGGTTGATCAACAGAAAGTTTCAGGTTGGTGGTCTCCAGCCAAAAGATCTCATCTTATCAACATCTTGGAGCTTCTTGTTGTACGTCATGCCTTGGATCATTTTCTTCATGTTGGCAGGAGCTATGGGGTCATGATCCATTACGACATTCTACAGTGATGGCTCATCTCAATCACCAGTGTGGCACCTGTTCTCGTTCCCTTTGTTGTTGGACCTTGGATGCCCTTTTTTGGGCCCACATGCTAGATATTCATATCATTGCATGTCATGTTCTAGGTGCATTCAATCTTGTTGTCGATCATATTTCCTGCCCTGATGAAGTTTATCCAACAGAGTGGTCTGTCGATCCTCTTGTTTTCCAGTGACTGTGCCTTCAATGAGGTACTCCTCACCTGGATGCGCTGGTCACGTCTCTTAATATCAAATTACCTCTGTTTTAGTCTCCAGTTCCTCATCCTCTTGCTCCGACTATCGACAGTTTCAGTCAAGATTGGACCAGCAAATACCTGTATGTTTATCCTCCCATCCATCTTCTTTAGAGGGTGATCTCGATCATCCATGCCACTCCGTGTCAAGTCCTTCTGATTACTCTGTGCTGGCCATCACAACCCTGGTTCCTGAGGCTGCTCCAGCTCCAATCTGCCCCTCCTTTACCTCTTCCTCTTACTCCGTCCCTTCTACGTCAACCTCAGGCACTGTCATTTCATCCAACCTTTCATATTCTTCATCTTTATGCCTGGTTTTTGTCTGGTCCTCGTCGAGGAGATTCAGTTTGTCCCAGCAGGACGCTTCATTGCTTCGTTTTTAGCTTGCTCCAATTGTCTTTCCTCTAGGAATGTTTATCGATGTAAGTGGAATGTTTTCCACCATTGGTCTTTAGGTCAAGGGTTATACCCCGCTTGAAACACTGTTCTTTATATTACGGATTTCCTCACTTGGCTGTTTGATCAGGGGTCTTCTGTCTCCTTGATCATGGATTATCAGGCTGCCTTATCCCAAACTTTTCGTTTTTTCAGGTACTGTAAAGTTTTTACCTATCTTACCTTTTCCCTCTTGTTATGTTCCTTCTGTTTTTTGCTTGTTCCATTGATCTTTCCTCTAGGAATGTTTATCAATGTAATTGGAACATTTTCCACCATTGGTCTTTTGGGTCAAGGGTTTCCCTCCACTTGACCCACTGTTCCTCATATTATGAATTTCCTCACTCAGCAGCTTGATCAGGGGTCTTCTATCTCCTTGATTGTGGGTGATCGGGCTGCCTTATCACATACTTTTAGTTTTTCCAGGTACTGTAAAGTTTTTACCTCTCCTGCCTTTTCCCTCTTGTTATGTTCCTTCTGGATTAGTCGTCCACCTTGGTGTACATTTTTCTGAATTGGGATGTTAATGTGGCTCTTCACAGCCTCACTTTCCCTCCATTTGAACCTGTGTCCTTGTGCTCGATTTTTCACTTATCACTTAAGACTTATTTTCTTCTCCTATTAACCTGTAACGTTGTCAGTCAGATTTATTTGCCATCGATGTTTCACGTACTCTATATCATTCCACAATTATACTCCTTTATCCAGATAAATCTTTCCTTCTCAAAACTTCAGTGGCTCAGGAGGGTAATTCCTCCTTGTTGCTAATTTCCCCTCCTTCCATTTCCCACCTTTATCCTCGGTTGGATCCAGATAGGCTACTCTGTCCTGTCCATGCTCTTCATTGTTATGTTGCCCGCATGGCTTCCTTCCATGGTGTCTGCTTTCTTTTATTCATTCCTTGGCAGACATCCTCTGTTTGTGACCTTTCTCCTTCCACCCTGACCAATTGGGTTTGGCTTTTAATTTAATTGGCTCATTCTTCCATATCTTCTTCTTCCCGTAACTTGTTCCAGATGTTTTCTCATCAGATCAGGCTCCTAACCTTTTCTCT